TATATATATATTTATTATTATTAAGCTACATTGCACAGTCACTTTTAAACCATGCAGTTTGCCCTCAGTAAATTCTTAATTTGCTGTTTATTGATAGTAAGTAAGGTAGTTGTTGTAGTAGTTCAGTTTAGGTATGGGGTAGAGTTATGGGATCAAGAATATGGTCATGCATTAATATGCGCTTTAATAAACAGCCAATATGCTAATAAGCAACTAGTTAATTGCAAACAGTGTTCCCTAATCTAAAGTGTTACTTATATTTTGAAAAAAATAATTCTCACTGAGGGTGTCGTTCTCTTATTATGGTAATGCATATTACAAACCAAAGGTAAGAAACGAGTCTGTGGGCAGCAGTTGCAGTTATAATTTTTGCTCTGCACGTACGTCCTTCTTTCATTTCCTGCATCCTAATATGTGCACATCAATTAAAAACGGAAGAACGGCTTTAAAATAAAACAGGAGATGATGTACACATGTAACACAGCCTCCATCAATGGCAGATGATGTTTGTCTCACATCTGCCTACACAGGTTAGTTATAACACCATCACAGTTTCACAGTCAGTTGGATGCGCCCCCATATTCTAATGTGTACGGATGCATGTGCATCCAGACTGAAAAGGTCATGTAAACACATTTTACATGAGGTAGGAGTTTGGCGGTAAAGGTGTAATGTAAAGTACATTTTGCGGCCTTGAGCATGGCAGGGGTTTCCCTTGCAACTCACTGCAAAACTAAGTATGAATGAAAAGTAGATTTTCTTTACATTAAATCTACAGCTTATCTGGAGTCGGACTACAGATTATATGTGGGCAACACGTATAAGCAGTGCTGTATTTTGTGGGCACCATGTGGGTGCGCTTCAGTCCATCACCACAAACTACCCATGTTTTTACTGTACATCTTTAAATCCACAAGAAATCACAATGTATCCCATTTACTTTTTGGTCTAGCACAGTACTAGGCCACAATACTGCAGTAACCCTCAAACTTGTGGGAATTACTTTAACCATTGTGCAACAGCTTTGCGATTTTAATATTTTAGTACTAGCAGAATCAGTACACTCTAAAAAATGCTGGGTTAAATACAGCCCAATTGCTGGGTCTGTCCCTATTTTACCCAGCACTGGGTTGTATTTAATCCAGATTTTTTTAGAGTGTACTGATTCTGCTAGTTTAAACAGCAAATAATGCCAAAATACTCTTTTGTACATTCATCAATGTAGTCGCAGACTATCAGATTATGGATTTCTAGGAGGACTACAAAAGCACCAAGGTGAAGAAACCCACTTACTTGTTACAGAAATCTTGGATGCACATCTTCGCATGCGACTGTTGCAAATGACCAAAGCAGCGCTTTTTTTTCACAGAAAGAGCCATTCGTACTGGCTGGTGTTTGTCACCATGTTCTCTGGTTGATGCGTGTCGTACAGTCGGAAGTCGAGCGAGTTTGTTGAGGGTTCAGGCACGACTGATAGAGCGGAGACGAGCGGAGACGGCCTGTGATCTCAGGCTCACGAACAGTGCAAGTCATTTCCTCTCAGGGCCCACACTGGCGTACTCTTTTTCTGTGTCACAAAGTCACTTCCTTTTGGTGGTTGTGTAGACAAACTGATTGGCCGAATTTCTCAGGACTTGAATTCACTGGCAGGGACTTTCCACTTCTTTTAACATGAAATGACGTAGTCGAGGCGGCTAGTCTGACAAGCTTGCAACAGCTATGTTGACTCCTAGAAATATCTCGTAGCCTGTAGGCCTCTATGTACATTCATGTAACCAAAGACTACCAAAGTCTGAAAACAGAAGTGTGCTGTGTTAAAACTTCACGGGTGACGCAAAGAGACAGTTGTCCGTTAGTGGTTAGTATGACTTGCTCATATTAAGGTTAGAGACTTGAACAACAAACCTTAATCTTAACTACTAAATTTTGACACGTAACTCCTCTGAAACGGTTTCTGCTACATGAATTGTAACTCAAATGTGTCCTATTACTTTTCTAAG